GGCAAGATAGCGGCTCTTCCCGCCCTCCTCAGTACTCATCCCGGTAACAATTACTCTCACCTCTCCTTTCCTCCCTCCCCAGTCCTCCGAACTGGGGCAAAACTGTAAGTACCACCCAGAAAAGACAAGATCGAAGCAGCCCAGCACCACAGGCTTCCTGCAATGACTGCGAGAGCCTTGGCCTCGCGGATCCGCTGCCCAAGAACATCCCCTACCCCCACCCGGACCGCGATCTGTCCGTCTTCCCGCGGCGCTCGGGCCCCAATCCCTCTACCGCTCGACCCCCGGAGCCTCCGGGTGCCGCCTTCCTCTCCTTGACCTACCCCAGGCTCCCTGGAGCTCAGGAGAGGGGGCGCCGCGCTCTCTTCCCGGGACCATCTCTCCACCGCTCCAACCCCGATTTCGACATTTCGGCTTCGACAGCGTTTCGAGAGGAAAGTAACAGAGCGCCCCCCGCGTCCCTCTCCCCTCTCCCCTCCTCCCTGGCCCTCGGCAGGGGTTAAAAAGGAGAAGTGAAAGGTATGCAAATGACAAGCAAATTGGAAGAGCCGGGAAGAAAGGCAGCTATAATAAACTAGACAAAGAGAGAGGACGCGGGGGACTGGCCCAGGAGTTTTAACCCGGGGAGATAGGGAGGATGAGGCTTGGCGGAAAGCGGGGATCCGGGCGAACAAAAAAGCGACCCTGTCCCCCCTCGCGGTCCTCTCTCCTGAGAAGAGAGGGCAAGAGAAAGAAGGAGAGGAAGCGAACGCCCCCGCACACCCCAGACACAGCACACAAAAGGTGACAAGATCGGCGACAAGTCCAGCAGTATCAGCCTCCCCCCATCGCCACCACCACCCCCGGCCACCGGCAGGAAAGAAAGAAATAAAAGCCAAGCGGATCACTTACTCTTAGGAACTGGAAGGAGGGACCGCTGAGTTCCACTGAGTCTCCTGCTCAGAAACTGTTTACAGGCTATTTTATTATGATTCATTTAAATAACACCATTTTCTCCTCCTGGGGGGGGGGGGAAAAACAACAAAAAAAGGATGTTTTACATGGGTATAAGTCCTGGGAGTCTCTTTTCTTCTCATTCAAGAACAAGCTAGTACAAGTGATTCTGGAAAAGGGGAGGGAACTGGCGGGGGGACAGAAGATACTTACGCGGTGCAGAGAGCAGGGGGCCGATTTTTTTTTTTTTTTTCTCCTGCCGGCACAGAGAGGAAAACACGCGCGCGCTCACACCCGGTGAGATCTTGCGGGTGATGAATATGATAATTGGACCAGGGACGGTGAGTCTGTGCGACAGCGAGCGAGCGATCGGGGCGAGAGGGAGAAGGGAGAGAGAGAGAGAGAGAAGGGGGGAGAAGGAAAGAAAAGAGGAGAGGAGAAGGAGAGAGAAGGGAGCAGAAAAGAAGAGAGGCGAGGAGGAGAAGGAAGGAGAGCCGAGAAGCGAAGCGGCGTGGGCGCAGGCGGACCCCGCGAAGCTCTTTTGCGCCACTCCGCTTTCCCGGCTGCAATGGTGTATTATTTCAGAGCGCTCCCTCGGCTGAGGGCTGCGCTCCACAACAAGATTTACTTTAAGACACAGCTGAAGGAAACAGGAAGACTGCACGTCACAGTCTGACTGACGTACCCGGCCTCAGCGCCCAATCGCGAGGCGCCTTCGGATTCAAGGGGGGATTGCGAGGCGAGAGAACTTGGGAGGAAAAAAATATATAGAAAAGGGGGTGGGGGCGAGGGGCTGGGAAAAGAGGAGGGGAGAGGGGCCCCGCGCTCCCCCTCCCCCGCCTC